TTGTAGATACATAATTTAAAGGAAGTATCTTTTTTTTTTTCCGTATACATAGACAAACTCATGTGATCTTAGCTAAAACTGGTCGACGAACAACTCAATTATCAATAGACATGCTTTTTTTTCTCGTCATATCACTCTTAAGGTTTCCTTCCTTCCTCGACGTTTTTTTTCTTCTTCTTCTTCTTCATATTGTGATTAAAAGAGAATCTTTTCACTAAATAGCCGTGAACGAGTTTCTAATAAAGAAAAGAAAGTAATTCTTTTTCTTACAATGTCAGATCGACGACAACGAATACGCACTGTTCTTCATAAGTACGTATTATTTAATTTGACAAGTCAAAAAGAAAATCTTAAATAATTGCTCCTTTTTTGTTTTTGCTGTTATTTCGTTATGATCTCTTATTTAATTGATTATAGATGTGCAACAATGATTAATGAAAATCCTGATACTTTAAATTCGTCAATAGAGACGAGTAATATTGATCCATTAGTTGGTGTTACAAATATTTGTTTATCATCATTGGAAAATCCTTCAGCATCAAAAGTTCGTCTTCGTCAATTATTACGACAAGTTGAAAAAGAATTTGAAGCTGTTTTACTTGAAAATGTTGCTTTAAGAAAAGAATTAGAACGATATGGTGGTTTAAATAATACTAATACACATGGTACAACAACAACAACAACAAGTAAACTTCGAGCATCAAATATATTACCAATGATTAGAAATCGAGTTGTAATGAGAACGGGAAATCAATCTGATGATTTAATTTTTTCATCAACAAATCAACATAGAGATGTTATATGGGATGTTCAGGTTCGATTTTAAATGTAATTAAAGTTTATATATATAATAATATTGTATAGGCTGGTGGTTTAGATGATCGTTATTTCGGATCAGCTTCCGCTGATAAAACATCAATTATTTGGTCGAGAAAAACAGGACGTTCTCTTATACAATATCAAGGTCATCGAGGAAGTGTTAATTCATGTCGATTTGGATATATTGATCATGATTTAGTTTTAACAGCAAGTGGAGATCATGAAGTACATATATGGAAATGGTCATTAGATGAAAATAAAGATGATGATGATGAAGATAATGAAATAGTTACACAAATTATACGTACTCCTTTATTAGCTTTAAGAAGTGATGATGTTTTATCTTGTGCTGATTGGCTTCAACGTGATCAAATTGTATCAGCTTCATGGGATAGAAGTGCTACACTTTGGCAGGTTAATTATTTAATAATAAAATATTATTTTAAATAATATTTCATAAATATATATATATATATAGGTTGAAACGGGAAATTCACTTCGTACACTCTATGGACATGATGGAGAATTAACTTATGTTTCTTGTCATCAAACAAAGCCACTTGTAATTACATCTTCACGTAAGTTTCTTTGTTTTTTTTTTATTTTAATATGATCCAGATACTGTCAAATCTATTCTATTAAATGAATTACAATTTTAGAAGACAAAAACCTATTTCCGACAAAAGGAAATCATCAATATAGATGAAGATGAAGGAAAAAAAAAGAAGTCTATTTATAGGTTTTTGTTTTTTCTTTGTTATAAATGAAAACTGTTTAATTATTAATTATTAAAAGTATCATTTTGAGATAATTGATAAAATCATCAGTAATATCATCGTTCTAGGGTTTTGTTTAATGATAAAAAACTATTCATTCTAATGATTATATATTAAAATTCGTATCGTGTTGATAAAATTTTTTTTAAAAGGATTCATGCTATAATAGTTTCATTCGAGTGCAATGAGTGTGATAAATTACTATAGAAATGAAATTATTGTTTTTTACATATAATTTTTTCTTTCAAAATTTAATAGCTACAACAGTTACATTTAGATTGACATGTTCAAGAAGGAGAAAAGAGACATTTTCTTTTTTTGCATTAATTCTTCTTTTATTATAATAGAATTACTATTTTTCTCATCTCTTTCAATTGTTATAATAACAATAATCTATTGAAAATTATTTTCTTTTTTCTGTTCTTTAACTATATAAAATAAGAAAATAGTTTATACGTGATCGATAAAAAAAAATACTTTTGTTTACATTTATTTGATTATATATATTATCCAAAAATAGAAACAAGAAAGATAAGAATAAATAGATAGTTACAATAAAAAATAAAACACAAAGTTACACTGAAATTCAAGATATTCATTGAATAGATTTATTCGTATGTAGATCGTTCAAAAAATTCTGAGATTGATTTTATTAAAATTATAATTATAATTATATGTTATCTTTTTTGAAAAATCATCTCTCTGCTAAAAGATACTTTTATCAACACTCTTCAAGCTTCTGTATAGTTGCTGTGAAATCATCTTCATATAGATGATGTAAACACTGATGTAATGTTGAACCTAGTGAACTTTGATTGTTGTAGTAATTTCCTTTGAATTTTATTCTTTAAAATTAGAAATAGGAAATAATTACACGGAAGTTAGAACTTGACAATAAGAGAGATGAAGAAGTAATTCATATTTCAAAGCATAAAGTAATACAAGAAATGAAATCTGATGAAGCATTGTTACTTTGCAAAACGACAACAGCCGAAATTAAACCTCGCTATTATTTTCTAATTTATGGATCAAGTTCTTTTACCAAAGAGATATGCTTAGTATACTTTAGTGATTGTCACATTCAAGTATAGACTATTTGAGAATTATTCCTTTATAATTTCAGTAAAATAATCAATCAAAGTTCATGATGTCAATCGATAGAAGACCGTGTGAATTAGCAATCATAGATGTCCATCGTGGTTGAGAATTTGTTACTGCTGTGATACGATGCACTGTTAAAAAGAAATTGCCGCTGTCGCGGTGATATTTAAAATAATGTTTCGATTTTTAAGACCGTGGTTGATTTGAACTAGAACTGCTGCTGCTAATCGACTAGATTTTCTAAGTTTTACAGTATCACATATATGAACATCGAGATTCTGTGAAAATTTAAGTATTTTTTAAATTTCTTCCTAAAGCATTTGCCACTGCCGCGATGCCATCGGCATCTCTACTATCAATACACAACAGAGATGTCCATGGCACCGATGCCGCGGTAACAGCAGTGGTACCAATTTTTTGAAGGACATTGAAAAACTGCATGAATTTAATAGAATTTCAAGGTTTACAAATGAAACACTCCGAGACTGAATGAATCTGATGGACTAATACCAATATTTCTGGTCAAATATAGTCGCAACAGTGAAATTAGAAACACTTTTTTGAAAACCGCCGCGGCAGCGACAGATGTTCAGCTGTGATGAACATCTCTGATACACAACAATTTCAAAATAGTAGCGTTTCTTTTTTATTGTTTTTAAATGAGTCTTGAAATTTTTTGAACGATTCTCATACATCAACAATAAAATTCTAATTATTATCTATTTATAAATAAAATGATTCTTTCTTCTTTAGGTGATGGAACATTTCGTTTATGGGATTGTCGAACTCCAAGTCATTCTGTACAAATATTTAATGGTCATACAAAAACTGTTAATTCTGCATTATTTCTTGGTAATGATCGTCTTGTATCATCGTCAGATGATGGTTTTGTTCATATTTGGGATTCTCGTTCAGCTAGTTGTTCACCTTTAATTTCACTTGAATGTGTTTCACCATGTAATCGTATATCATTATCACATGATATTCTAGCTGTACCACTTGATAATCGTGATATTCGTCTTTATTCAGCAATAAATGGAGAAAAACTTCATGTACAACGACGAGCACATACACGTGCCGTTCAATGTACAGCTCTTGTTCCATGTGCAAATTCAATGGAATTTCTCCTTGCTAGTGGTAGTCTCGATCGACATATGCATGTTTGGCATATTAAAAAATTAAAAGGATCAAATAATAGTAAATTAATAAAATCTCTCGATGAATCAATTGGATTACCTGTAGCACTTCCATCGAATGAAGGTAATAAAAATGGAGGTGGAGGAGATGGTCAACATAAGAAAACAACTAAACGAACACCATTAACGGAAAAACCAAATAATGTTGTTACATCAACAGACAAAAAACAGACTTCAACAACTTTAAATATAACATCTGATAAACAATCACAACGGACTTTATCAACAACTAAATAAACAGATTTCTTTTTTTGTTTTTGTATTTGTTTTTCTTAGATCAACTACCTAATGATAGTAGTGTGCAATGCCTCATTAATCAGACGTAATTTATCTCCTGTAATTTCTCTTGAGAATGTTCTTTTTTTTTTCTTTGTCGACTTATGATTTCTTGATTTTCTTTTTGTATATTTCCCGTAATTGTCAATTTGTATGTATGAAAAATGAATGACAATTTTTGTTTAACATCGTTCATGATGAATTGTATCATACATAGACTATGGAGTACAATAAAGCAAACAAAAAAACGAAAGTTGTTATCTGGTTTTTTTTTCGTTGTACTTCTCTTATCGAGTTTCATTCTTATCTCTAACTAACGAAGAAACTCATCCAACTAATAACCTTCGTTTGAGTAC